GTGTGCGCACGTGTACGTGTGTATGTATGTGTACATGTGTATGTGTATGTGTGTGTGTGTGTGTGCATGTGCGTGTGTGAGTGTGTGTGAGTGTGTGCGTGTGTACGAGTGTGTGTGTGTGTATGTATGTGTGTGTGTATATGTGTGTGTGAGAGGTCAAGGGCAGAAATTAAATTTGAAACGAGGGAGATCTCTACAAAACTTAACAAAAGCATGTAAAAGTTCTTAAATTAAGGGAAGCTACCCAAAGAACATTTCGTTAGGTTTTGGTAACTCATAGAATTACCTCCCTTTGCAAGTCGCTGTCCTTAGGGTTTCCTGTGTCCCAACATGGACAATCAATAAACAGCTGGAAAAAACAATTGTGGCGACTAAGTTGTGGTTCATAAGACGCATGCTGCGTATCCCATGGACAGCTAGAACAAAAAATGAAGAAGAATTGGTTAAAGCAAACTGCAGAAGACAGCTCAAGACGAATATACGAAAGCGATAGGCAAATTTTTTCGGACACCCAATGCGGAAAGAAGCATTGGGGAATATTGTAAGAACAGGCAAGTTTGATGGAAAGAGGGGCAGGGGCAGAAAGGAGGAAGGAGATACTGGGCATGACTGGGAGCAGCAAGAACAACAGACACCATTGCTGCAACGCAAGACAGAGTGAAGTGGAGGTCCATGATCGCCCACGCATGTCTGCAAGGCACCGGAAGATGATGATGATGATGTGTCCCCACCCCCTTGACGTCAACGAAGAAAGTAAGCACTACAAAAGGAAAACATAAGCAGACGTCCGATATACTGTCTGTCAGATGAATAACTACAACTGAGGGAGAGTTTTAGTTTAGTTTTAGTAGAGGTTTTACGGCGCTCGCTACTGCATAAGGTCAAATGAGCGCCAGAAGATTAGAGGTGTTACAAGAGAATAACAGACATAAAAAAGAAGGAAAGATAAGGACGATAGATGTTTGATAAGAAAGAAGAAGCAAAACACACCAGAGCACCCGCCAACCACCCACACTGAGGGGGAGAAGAAAAGAAGGAACTTACACTAACACCACCCCACTCCCTCCGAAAAAAAATTAACCACCGGTATGCTATTCAACGGTAAAGACAAGCGCAAGTCTCTAGAACCCTTGGAATAAAATTCAAATTGTCCAATAAGCTTACCCTAGTTAGTTTTAGGTTTGAGCAACAAAATATTTTAACAAAATAAAAAAAAATACATGCAGTGATAAAAATACACGTCGACACGTCCATTAAGCGCAAGGAAAATGTAAAACGGATAGAAACAACAGAGCGAAGGGGAAAAAAGAAGCCGGACCTATACTGGTGACACCCCCCTCACACACAAACACACACACTCTCTCTCTCT